CCGCCGAAAGCAAGTGCTGCTCCGGGCGAAAGGAGAAAGGGGTGAGCGGGCGAGGGGGGGGGGTGTGCAAGATCGCCGCGAGATACGTTTGTGCTGGTACACGTCTAGCCTCCAAATCTAATGTGACGTCTGTGTCACGTACCTCCTTCCATGCTGCTCCATGTCGCGCACATAAACGGGGGGGTGTCTCTCTCTCATCCTCTCTGTCTCTCGCTCACCACAAAGAACGCGCCCCTATATGCACGCATCGCCGGCAATATCTAATATGTTTCTGTCTTTCGAGGAACGATACTGAAATCGCGTTGCGCGTTACTTCGAAATTGCCGGAGTATTCCAAATAATTCCGAAATAAATTTCCGAAACGATTAACTTTTTATTGTTTTGTTGCAAATGTCAGGTTGACATTTTATCTCTTGAATGATATATCACAAGAGCATAATCTCTGATCTATTAATTTTAATTTATTATTAATTTGAAAAGCAATAATTAACGATTTCTGTGTTATGCGAATATTTTATGTATATCTGGTATTTTTAACCTGATTTTTATATATCTAGTATTTTTAATGATTTAAAATAATTTTTTCTTTTTTTTTAATTTAAAGGAAGTCTCATTTATATTTTAACTAATCATTTTTCACAAAACTATTATTGCTTCCATGAATATGGTAACTAATTATCTATAACTTATAAAATAGTTGGAATCATCATTGATGATTCTGTTTTAAAATTTTATCTTTAATATATTCTTAATAGCTGATAATTTAATAGGTACATCACAAGCAGATGTGAAAATAATCACGCATTAAACGCAAAAAATCGAAACGAAATGTGGATTTTAAAATTATTCATAGAATCGAAATAATTTTACTGTTTCTACGAAATTGATTTAACAATTTTTCTTTAATCTATTAAGAAGCAAAATTTTACTCACATACAGTTTTAAAAAATTTCTCACACTTTTTTTATTTATTTCTAAATATAATTAATAAAGCTAAACTTTTATCTCTGTTTTCAAATAATTATTACATTTTTATCACACTTTTATTAATAATTGACATTTAAATATTTTAACGAGTAATCGATAAATATTCGTAACGTTTCACGAAATTTAGTTTATCCCTTTAGTTTACCTTCTTTCTTTGTATATTTTTCTTTGTATATACCTATTGAGATCTTTTTTCACAATTTTGGATTTTTTATCGATGAGTTTTGTCTGTTTCGCTGTTGATCATCGGTATGTTGATTCATCGGTAAGAGAGACGAACTTTCTTCGCTTTCTTGTAACGTGTCTCGTATCATTTTGACAATTCGCAATTCGGTATTTTCGTCGGAATCATCGCTCTCGGCATCGATACTCGCGGATTTGAGAAATTTTCGGGCGGCATCTTCGTGAGGCGTGCGTGGGTGATGTGACTTCTTGGGCTCTTCGGGTTTCTGTGACATTATTGGAAGAGATTCAGTTATTCGTTCTTCAGCTTTAATCAAACGGTTATTCTCTTCGCTCCTAGAATAGTTCAAACTTCTCGACTGCGGTTGCTCACTCGAGTAGTCCATCGTATTGGCATGTCGCATTTTTTTTATCAGCATGAATTTGATTCGATCAGAAGGATTTCTCTTAATTTCCTTGCCTGACAATTTTTGTCTCTTCACCGCTGCCTGACGATTCACGTCTCTTGACCGATCGTTTTTTTTGTTTCTGCGAGATTTTTTATCTTTATTGATATTATCTTATTGAAATTATTCGTGTCTTGCATTCGCAAGTTTATGGGATTCAAGTTTCTTCGAGTGTCGTGGAGATGAATGTGCTGAGGAACTTCGATGACAACGCGAGTTTTATCCTTGTAGACGTTGGACTGTCCGCTAATTTTATCGAGATGTTCCTCTTCAGCCAAGGATATGGTCAGGAGTAAATCGTCGATGGCGGATTTCAGCGACTCTTTATTTTCTTGGAAGGTGTCCGATGTTTCAAAGCGAGCGACTGGCGTGAGAGATTTGGTATCTAAAAATTCTCCAAACCTCATACTCGGCATCTCCTCGTGAACGATGTCGGCGTTCAGGTCGACGCTTTCGTCTCCCGGACCGTCCAGTCTCACCGCCGGTAGTAATGACGTAATATGCTGCTTGACGTCATCAGGCACCTGAGGTACTTTGATGAGATGCTCGAACAGTGCCTTCAAATACGCACCCCTCGTCGTGTAGGTCATGTGATCGAAGCCCGCGGCGTGCACCAAATTGTTATACTTACGCTCGAAAAACATCGCCACTTTCACCGCGTCGGTTTCGTTTATCTTCGAGTAATCGAGAGCCCGCATCACGCCGTACATGTCCACGTTTACGTTGGAATCCTTCGCGTGCTTCTTCAGTTCGATTGGCGCGTCGAGACCGTCGATGGTGGTTATTTTATCTCGAAAGTACCCCAGAGCCTCTTGCTGCACGGGATCTTGCTGCACGCTTTCCAGCTCCTGGCCCAGGTCCAGGATGGCTTGTAAAAGTCGACCCTTGGTCACGTACTCGAACGGGTCTTTCGGTAACTTCAGTTTACGCAGCAAGTCAGGAATGGAGAAGAATTTGATGATACCGCGAATGATACCCTCGTCCGTCGTCTTCGGTAACGCGAACAAGAGCGAATGCAGATCAATATCATTTATCGTTCTCTCATTTATCATGCGCTCGATCTTCATCTCGTTGTGCAGAGTACGATTTAAATATTTTGATTCCGTGTGGTACTCAGGTGCAAAATCAGTTGGTCGACTAATCGTGAGGTTCAACATTAAATCATTCATCGCAAACAGCATACTCTTATAAGTGGAGTATTTTATGTCGAAATCATTTCCGTATAAAAGCTGAAATCCCCATAGCGTGAAATACTTCCGAATGGTTTGCAGTTTGCTCGCGTGATACCTATAGTCACGCATCTGCTTCATCGCGTGTTCCACTTGTTCCTTGTGAATCTCGTTCACGAGATGTGGCTTCAAGGTCTTGATACTCTGTCGCATCGCTTCGCTGATATCTCTCTTTTCGACCAGCTCCATCATCTTCAGAAGCAACTGTTTCGGCGTGTCTCTCGGCATTAGATTTTTTTCCAAGATCAATACTTGTGTATCTTGGCATTGCATAAGAAGCCTGAGATTGTCGAACTCGTGATCGCTCGGAATTTCATTGATGGCTTCATCGATCTCGGAAAACGTTGGTACTTCTTGTATGACAATCGATCTATCAAAAGACGGAATCCAAGTTCTAAAAGCAGACATGATGCAATCATGCAAATAAACCTCTATGTCGTTAATCAATGATTTGCTTTTGATTAACTCTGATCTATAAGCGAGTTCTCTCATAACTGCGCGTACCATACCGAACGGGGTCCCATGAGAAAAGGCTCGATAAATATCTTTGGGTAAATCTTCTACGGCTAAATCTTCTTTGTGGCCGAGCATGTACAATTTTAATGGCTTCACTTCATTCGCACACCTTCCATTTGGAATAAATGGAACAAATGCATGATAGAGGAAAATCTCCTTTCCTACTCTACGCATATCGTTCTTGCAAGCTTCGAACGCGTCTTTCATAGGTCCGTCTACCTTTACGTCGCGTAGAAACAATGCAGAGAAGTGCATAATGGATATCCATTCGGTATAATTTCTACTTGGCGTTTCATTGGAATTCCTTGTAAAGATCGATTGGAAGCTATAATTCGGCGGCAATATCTGGACCAAATTTTCGGATTTCAACGCGAAATCCTGGTATTTTATGCACGAAGCAGAATTCGCAAGTACACTTAAGCGATTAAGATCCTGGGGGATAGATACTTGTTCCGGTAAGAATTTCGCATTCGTCTCTAGAGAATCGAGGGCGGAAAATATTTTGTCGTTATGCAATTCCTTGACGTTTCGTAGAGCGCTCAACAGATCGAAAATCCGCTGCTTAAAAGTACGTGACGGTCGATACAAGTCGAGATCTATGGGAAGAAGCGACGCGACATCTGTCGTCGACAGAAATTGCAGCAAGGGACTTATCGAGGAGAAGTAAGTGCACGGTATCGCTCGTATCAAAACATCTACGTGTTCCCTGGTAATGTCGATGTCGGACATTTTCTTCAACAAGGTCCCGGCATTAATCAATGCCTGCCTCGTACTCACGTCCGTAGGATTGGCCTGCTGGCAGTAGTGCACGATCGTCGAGATCTTCATCTTCCGCGATTCTATGCTGCTAATATTGAAATGAATCGGCAAATACGGCATCAAGGTGGCCAGTCTGCAATTATTTACGAGTAACTTTATGTAGAAAGTATCCAACGGCAATGGCAATAATAGCTTCTCGATCTCCGTGTCGTTTACCGCAGGCGTATCCGGCATTTTGCTAACGATTCTTTTCGCAAAGTTGATCGAATACGCCAAAGATAGAAACGCGTTGCTTTTCGATAACTCGCCTAGTACTGCTAACACGCGCAATTTCTTCGTCTTGTATTCGGTCAGCTGGAAATTCACAGGTAAAGACATGATGACTTTTTTAGTCGTCATCTGCGTCCTGAGTTGTTTGATCTGATTGTACTGGTTGAACGGAATCTCGTTTATGATAGATCTTATGTCATCGCTATTGACTATCGAACTCAGTGGTATTATTTCGGAACTGACTTTCGTCAATTCGCCTACGAGTACATTGAGGGTATCTTGCAGCTTGTCATTTTTCGTAGAGCCAAGAGTGGCGTTCAGCATCCGTAGAACATCGTGTAACGCCACTCTGACGGTAGACGCTTGCTTTATATCAAACTTTCCAGGTAACATCTTGATTAACGTGTAAGATTTCAAATATTTTCTAATAAGCTCCAAGTAAGGCATTCCGGTGACGGGAATTATATTAAGTAGTGGCACGAGATCATCCTCCGTGATGTCCGGAACGTCCGGATAGGTTTCCACTTCTTGGACAAGTCCCTCTAATTCCGAATGAACGTCCGTGTTTAATTTTAACAGTTGCCGCAGCAAATGTAGCGTTTTCGTCTTGTACGTCGGCTGGTTGTCGAAAGTGAACGATTCCGGTAGTAAACCCGTTAAGTTTTCGGACTTCAAAAATTCACGTAGTTTCGGAGACATGTTTAATATCGTGATTAATTCGAGATCCTTACTGGATAACTTTTTGGGGATCTCTTGAAATGATCGCCTCGTCGAAGAGATTTGCAAACTCTGTCTCACGAACCTCATGGTCTTGTAAAGAGTCACCCTTCGTCTCAGAGTGGGCAAGCGCAGCAGATTATCCAGCACAGCGGTAAAGGCGTCGATCGACGTACTATAGTTCGTGTATTTGAAATCTTGCGGTAGATATTTGATCATATTATCGTGACTTAAGAATATCTTCAGGGGCACTACATTGTAGTTGAGCTTGAGACTCATCAAGGTACGATGCATATTCTTAATGTCTTCCTCGGTAATGAAGTAGAAACGGTTTTCAAGATTTTTCTTCAACTTATTTGCCGACTCATTGACATTCTCATTTTCAATTTTATATTTATTTTTTATCAAGAATAACAAATAAAGCAATTTTTTGACCGGAGTAGGAAACATCTTCCAATTCGTGTCTTTGTACTGAATATACTTGGCGATCTCTTTGGACTGCAAGAAGATTTTGATAGGTACGAAATCTTTCTTGTGCGGTATTAAGGCTAACATTTCTTCCCAGTCTTCTGTGGTTAAATCTTCCTTCTTTTCAGGACCTATCGTCAATTCCAGAGCACGCTTGAACGATTGCAGCTGTTTTTGCATGTTGTAATCGACGTACGCTGGCCCTTCGTTCAATAAATAGTCAACGATATTTCTAAGTATCTCGCTATTGGGCATGTTGAACAATTTCTCTGGATTCAAGTAGCTAAGTACTTCCGGGTTTAAGATGCTATTGAGATAATCCACGTTGATTTGCCGAACATGCTCCATTTCCAATAATAACGGTCTGAGTTGAAAACCGGTGACGATCGGATGATTCAAATGTTCGACTTCTGATCGCAGTTTGTTTAATATGTTTGCTGCGGTATGGTTATTCCTGACCTCCGATAAATTCGCTATCTTGGACAATAAAGTTATTAATGGGGTTTGCGATCTTACGATACTGTCGTCGTTCGTAAAACGGGACAACACGTCAGCGTTGAGTAATTTCTCGATGGATCTAAAACGTTGTCTGACGATATGCGGAATGGTGTTCACTATATCTTCGAGGTCCGAGATCTGGGTGCCCGCGAGTCCTTCATCGGGTCGGATATTTCTTAACATCGAGAACGCGTTTAAAAATTGCGTGCTGTTGCCCATTTCATGATGCTTATGGAGGAGCTTCAGTAACGCGCGATACCGCCTTTGGATATTAGTAATCGCGAAAATAGCGCGTCCGAATTTTTCGTTGATATCTTTTCTGTGCAAGAATAACCTAATCGGAGCAAGCTCGCTGGAATAAGCGATTCCTGCATTGTCAAATATAGTTAATAAGTCGACGTCAATTCCTAAACTGAATATGTCTTGTCTAATGATATTCAACAGTTTGAAAACTTTATCGCTCTTTTTGATTATGGGATGCGACAGTAAACGATGTAATAATCCCAATAGCGATAATTTTGCTGATCTACCGAAAGGAATGGTAATTCCGATTTTATTCAACTCCGCAGCGCTTAGAAGTTTCTTAACAGGATCGTAAACAGCAGCCTTCGTGGCAGCAACGGCATTCCTAAGTGGTTGGATGTTCATCCTCCATCCTTTCAAGTTCGTCTCGATCTTAGAAATAATTTTCATTAGAGAAAGATTATTAGCGACGTCGATTCGTTGTTTTGTGTGGTATAGAATCGCTAGCAAGAGTTCCTCCTTTTCCAACAAATCGGAATTTCTGAGCTCCTCCGGCAAAATGCTGTACGCCCAATCTGGTGTTAGCAATTTTCTCAGTGGCTCGGTGAAAGAATCGGCAGGCAAGAACGATACAGCTTTATTAATGCGTTTTTTACTGGCACGCGATGCCTCGTCCAGATATTTATCGTACGTAATTTCTTTGAGAATCACCGACGCTACGTTTGCCTCCGTCTGATTCTTGGCGATGATCTGCTGGAAATAATTTTGCAGCCAGGCTTCCCGTTCTTCCGGCAGAATCGTCGGGTTTTGCAATTGGCTTATTTCTCGTAGGAGTGACTGATAGCTGGCATTGCTCGGATCTTGCAACGATTGGATCAAATAAGCGAAGATCGGAGTCTGATGATTCTCGTCTTCGTTTGCGCCGTCCAAAAAACTCAACGTCGCTCTTATATGCCTCAGCAATAATTTCTCCGTGCGTATTACGTAAGATTCCGCCAAGCTTTTTAGAAGGATAATCAGAGCGTTGCGCGGGGTAGCACTTTCTAAAATCGCCGGATTCAAATTTGGCACGAGAGTCATCAAATCCGCTTTCTTCAACAACAAAATCACAGGCTTCACGTACGTGTTGTTCGGCAGGTACTCCAGCATCGCCTCCAACGTCTGCCTCTTCAGGATGTGGAACACAATTTTTCTCTCCAGAATGTTCTCCGCTCGCTTCACGAGATCGGCTAGATTCCCGTCCGAGGAGATATAAAAAACAGGATAATTCAAGGCTCTGACGAGAACGTTCTCCGGCGTTCCACTGATGGAGATGTTCCAATCGGTGACGTTCACGTACGCATACGACTGTAGAATTTCGTCCTGCAGCGTTTTGTTACGCGACAGCAATTGCTGAATCAGATAAATAAAGTCAGAGCGGTCGAAAATTTTAATTGGCAACGGCGGCCCGTTGATGTTATCGAGAGCGAATCTTAGCGCCTCGGAGAGCTTCGGTTCCGCGGTTTTCAGGCCCACTGTCTGTAGTATGAGCAGGAGCCTTTCTATCGGCGTATCTACGTCGACCAGGCTGAAAGTCGACGACAAGTAGGTGAATAATTTTTGTTTCTTGAAGAGTATCTTTAGTGGCAGGTATCGCGAATCGCTATCGATATGCGGCAGATATTTTAACAACAATTGCAGGTTCTCCGAGGTATACAGATTGATCAGCAGCAATTCTTCGAGATAATTGTTAGCATTTTGGAGAGCCGCAAATAAAGACCCGTCGGATTTCACGAGGGGAAGCGCCAACGCTCTCTTCAGTACCGCTAATAATAAACTCCTCGGCGTTTCGTGTTCAAATTTGTTAAACTCGTAGCCGAGAATATTGAGAACGTTCGGCTTGGACAGAAAATTCAGCATGGGAGTGAATTTGTCACTTTTGAAGACGTTCGGTATTTCGTTTATCAGTAAAGAAAAGAAGTCGACTTCAACGTTTGTCGAATCATCTCTTTGAAAAATAACGCCAGCGTCGTAGAGCGATTCTCGTTCACGGGTTAAACCGTAGATATGACTCTTGTAAACGAAATTATCGACAGCGTTCGCTAGCAGTTTGCTCACCGGGACGTTTCTCAAACGCGTCAGAGATGTTAAAATTAATTCCCAAGGATCGTCGTTCACTCGTCTATCTCCGAAGGCATAAGTCCATGGCAGATCCTTAGATAAATATGGACGTAACGTTTTCATCGCGTTGCTAATGTTTTGCTGCAGACAAGGGGTTTCGAAGGAATTCAGATAATCGTTTATCTCGTAAAAGCTAATCGGCGCCGTATAATCATAATTGGCATCGCTCGCCAGTTTCTGAGAGACAAAAGGTATCAGGAAAGACAAGGGCTTCTCCAAATGTTGCAGGTGCGGCTTTCTACGGAGACGCGTCAATACTTGCAACAGAGCATGATCGCCTGTTTCATAAAAGTCAATGTCGAGATCTTGAATATCCGAGTTATTGAGATGATCCAACAGATACTTAGCTACGGCAACGGCATTAGTGGGATAATAATCGTTCGTCACTTTCAAGAGATTCTTCCAATCATTCTTCCGTTTTGTCGAATAGGGTTCCACGTTGAAATTCTGAAGCAACAACGAGGCCGCTTCTCTGATTGTGTCAGAGGAGAATTCGTCCGCCTCCAATCGTTCGAGAACAGTTTTCAAAAGATCCATCGGGTTCTCCAGATTCGGTCCCAGGTAACGCAAAAGGGTATCTTCCGTGGAGCTCGACCGTTCCTTCATTCGCTGCGCGATAAATTTGATGGCGCCGTGAACCTCCGGATCCGTCAGATCAAACGCCGGATAATTTAACAATATCGCGGACACCGCGCGCAGATCGAAAATCTGGTTGCCGTCGCGAGCCGTTTGTAACAGGAAGTCAACGTCCTTCGTCAGGGACGGAGCTATCCCGTTCCTTTGCTCGTGTGATATTGACTCGATCACGTTCGGATCTACGTTGCGCAACATATCGGCGAGCGGCACCACGGCGGTGTTGACATTCAAGAACGCGTTAAGGCAGAGCGACGCGTATTCGGAGACGAAGCGGTTGTCGACTCTCTCCAGTATTTGCAGGAGCTTGTACAATTGTTGCTTCGGTAGCTTATTTCTCAGCGCCGGCAGAACGTGAAGGAACTCGTAGGCCGCGACGCGACGATTTCGCACGGCATCGTGAATCCGCTCGAAGGGCACCCTCGTGTCCTCGTCGAGGCAGAGCAGGAGTATGCGGCCTAACGCCGTTACCAGGTTGTCACGCAAAGCTGCAGCAGCCTCCAAGCGTGATAAAATATCCTCCGAGGTGAGAGGCGGAGCATCGTTGGCGATGCTTCTTCGTAAAGATTGACCGGATGTCATCGATCTTCGCGCGTTACGTTCCAAACAATGTTGATCATAGTTCGTTTTTCCACGGGAATTCTATTAAGTAAGAAAAGGCAAATACAAAGAGGAGCAAATGTTATGTCTAGTCTTTTTTTTTTTTTTTTTTTAATGTCTTATTATAGCAAAGAGGGTGAAGAATTTTATTTATACTTACCGACACCTGTTCAGCAACCGATTCTGCGAATTGACAGACCAATATTGAGACTATTACGATCAGTACGATAGTCCAGTTTATTCGAAACGGAATTCGGAAACTTGCAGCGTTATATTGAGATTCGAACGGTATGCTTCTTTTGCATTCATTAACGCAGTCTTCAGAATAATCAAAAGCTGCGTTTTTTCTATCAATCATCTAGAGAAATGTTAAGATGTATTTTAATTATACGATCGCATAATTAAATTTTTATTTGTTTACACTTGATATAACGTTATGATTTTTCTATGGATTGTTTTGAATTTCATTATTTTTTTAATCTTACATGCCATTTTATTATAATTCTCTTATCGTATTGATTATGCAGAAAAATCTGTTTACTTAAATTTTTATGTTTACACTTTATCACTTTTTACAATATGTTTGCTATGTTTGACAGCATAAAATTAACATGCACATGCTGATAAGAAATTAATACGCGCCTGAGCCAAGATGCATTGTTTCTATGGCACATAAACAGATTACCTATGATCTATTAACTGTTTCAAACTGCAATTTCACGCACATTGGTAAATTTTTACTCTAATAAAATATGCGTAAATATAAATTTAAATAATGAAAAGAGAAAAGAAAATTACTTATAAAATAAAAAATCATAGATAAGAATATATTTTATATTGCACGTTTGTTATCAGAGGATACTTTAAAGATACTTATGTTAAACAATTCATAAATACATACTGTCATATAGATAAATAAAAAGCAAGTTCAAAAACATTCGTTTTCTTTGAAAGAATACAGCGTGAATATTTTTTAAAAAGATTACTTATTTGAATCTGTCATTTTTTTATGGACTTTTATATAATCGCTTATCAGAAAATTATTCAATAACAAACTCAAGTCATAATCATAGTCTTAGTCATTGTTGTAATTATTAAATATATTCACCATGGAAGCAGAGTGATTAAAACTGCAAATGCAACATTATAATTTTTCTATAAAAAAAAATTGATTAATCGTGAAAAGTCGTACAATAAAAACGTGCAAATAACTATTACAACACACAATTGAATTTTTTCGAAATTCGTTATTGGGAAACTCATTCAAAGCTCACTCGAACTACTTGACTTAAATCTAGATATTAAGCCAATCTAAGCTAATTATAAGTATAACTATTTTCTATTGCGTTTAAGACATTGAAGACTTACTATTGCAACGGATACAAGACACGTATTCCTAAATAAAACGATTTCTCTTTGCGAGCTTTGTCTCGACTCGATGCTTGCTCACTTTTCCCGACCGGTGGCTCGTCGAAGACGACAGTGTCGAGACGACAGACCCGTCTGAGTCTCCACCGTCGATCGGATCATGCCGACGCTGTGACGGATTAAATCTATAGCGCGTGTTCGCAGTGGCGAATTACTAATCGATTTCAAATCCTTCTCCGACACAGTGCGAATCGCGTTTGCAATCACGCTCTCACTGTTACACCGCCGAGGTAATGCGCTTACGTGTGTATCGCGAGACGATAATGCAAGACGTATCGAAAGCGAAACGGGAATAAATGGCGCGAACTAATTTTCTATGAAATTGTTTCTATAAATTCTCTCGCCTATGATAAATCAAGCGATTTTCATTTCGCCAGAATTATTCGCCGTATCTTGACTTTGGTTCTAATCTGCTCTTTATGGTCACATTGTATTAACAAGTTTCTTAAATTAAATGACTTTGATAACGTCGATGATATATTTATAAAAGTTTATAATTAACATAGCAGATTAACATTTCTGATTCGCAGAATTTATTGTTAGATTCACAGAATGTATTGTTAGATTTTATTTGACACGAAGTCATTAAAATGAAATAAAATTATAACAAGTTTATCTCCATCTGTTATCGAGATAATTAATAATTTTATGCGCCGAAAAAGAAGAAGCGAAAAACGAACTTTCTATTTGTTCGACGATGTGTCTCGACATAGTGACGCCAGAATGAAACGAACGCTGAAATTCTCATTCATGTAAACTATAGTATTTCTATGCATGGATGTTGCAATTTTATTCAAATCATATTCAATAGAATACCGCTGCATCACTATTGCATCACAAAATCTCACGCACACATTTGCATATATATATTTAAATATATATATTATAATTATATTTTTGTAATTACTTTTCTATGCAAGTTTACCATTGAAAATTAATTATTAAAAGTTAATTCTTTCTCTCTTTTAATACGCGGTAAAATTATTCCGCAGCATTATATTATTGCTTTTGTTCTTATATAATATTTTTAAATTTTATATATATTTCTATACATAAAAAATTTTATCAATTTCCAATTGTTTTCTTACTAATTAATTACGATCCGTCAGAAATGAAATAATTTAAACGTGTTTTGGATAGATGAAGCTTTGCTAAAAATCACTTTTTACTTCACATAGTGGCATAGTCGTAGTTCACCAAATTCAGCAAACGCTTCGACAATAATAAAAGCGTTGCATCCGTGTTTTCCGAGAACTTTCGTTTCTTGCAATGAAAGAGAGTATCTTTCTGCACCCCCCGTGCGCGTGCTCGCCGACGCGTGCATAACGAGGCTATCCTAAGAAATCTAAAAAAAAATGCCCCGGGAGAAAGAGAGCAAAGAAGATCTTCTTCAAGAGTCGCTCGGCTCCTCAACGCGCAATTGACATCGACCGAGGCGGAAAGAATCGCTGACAGGAACCAAAATGAATTATCGTGTCTTGGTACGCGGTAATTAATTATCGTGGTTAACTCTTTCTCTCTCTCTCTCTCTCTCTCTCTCTCTCTCTCTCTCTCCTCTCACGTTCGTCGTCGTTGTAGGTCCGCTCATACGCGTTCGTCCAAAATCACATAGATTATCGATTGCCGTTCACCGACGCGGGATTAAACAATTTTAATTTACCAAGCGACAAATTAAATGAACGCTCGGACGGCGGGACGAAAAGTGCCGATTATCGCGAAATATTTCATCGCGTTTTATCTCGCGTATTACGTGCGTTAAAGAGGAGATTATGAAAGCCATTAAAAATTTAATAACGGCCCTTGGAGAAATCGCAGGAGTCGAATGTGCGTATCTCGCGCAGATGACGCGAATCTGATAAACCCTTTCGGTCTCACCGACGTTTGGACGTTTTCCAAAAATATAGTTTTTTTTTTTTTTTTTTTTATACTTCGGTCTCTCGCAATCAACCGTGCGATCTCGAATTAACGCGGGCTATAAATCAGCATTATTTCTCGCAGAGAAAACATTTCGATATACCGATCGGAAAAAAGAGAGCCGATCGAGATTAATTCTGTTCGCTCGTTCGACGACAATCGAGTTTTTATAAGCGGCTGCATAATGCCGATAGCTTATCGCGCTCACATCAGAGCGGTGTCTGTCTACATACATTTTACAAACTGGTGTATGCTAGAAAGGAGACATTATCTTCAAAATGTATCACGTGGATATCTCTCTGGAGTGATGATTTTCATAGGCTATAATCAGGCGTTCGTATAATTGAATAATTTTTAAGAGTAAACAAGAGAATGTAAATGTATTGTTTTCTACAACGGGAAACTTAAATTGGGAGAATACAATAAGAATTTTTGAGAACAAATAGAAAAAGCACATTCCCGTTACGGATATATTTGACAAGTACTACGTGCAAAGTACGCGTATTAATTATTTTTGAACAATGTAATAATCCATTCTGAAACACAGACTGTCGGAGGACTTCTTTCAATTCGAGATCATCTCTACCCACGTGACACACTCGAAAAATGTCTGAGCGTGAAATGACAGAATGTACGCGCAATCTCGCCGACAAGCGGCATCCCATCAAGCGACATCGGATCACAGCGATCCGTGGTCCCCGGCACAATGGCGACGACACGCACCCCATTCTTGTCGACGGGCCTCGTCGGCAAATTTTCCACGTGATACGAGCATCTTAATAGGGACATCTCAGCGCGGGAGACGATTTAGTCGTGGACCGAGAGAGAGAGAGACGGTCTCGTTCAGAGCAATCTCGACATCTAAATTCGCGTCGGGCGATGTTTGACCGGAAGACTTCTTCGCGCGCTCCTGCTCCCAGGGTGGTTGGGGATACATTTCGACGAGGGGGGGGGGTCGCAGGGGAGGTACGCACGTCCGTGGTAGACACGTATTTATACGTAGGCGCAGAAAGAACGAGAGAGGCGGACGAGGCGGTCCGATGCAGATGAGATGGTATCGCGGTAATCGTCAGATCTCTCAGGAGCGGGACAATACCGGTCGTTCTCCAGTGTTCGGGAACACTCAACATCGTGCGACAATGGCACCGAATGGACGACAGCTGCTTAACGCTCGCCCTCGCGCCCTCGTCCATGCGATTTCCTCCGCCTCGCTCGCTATCGGGGAGTTTTTAACCACGGATTTTCGATGCGCAAAAAAACGGAGGATCCGGAGAATGCGATCCCCGCATCCGTTGCGCGAAGGAAGATATCGCAAACCGTGAACCCCCCCCCCCCGTAGGGCGATCTTCGGAAGAGGAAAACGACGTTCTCTCTCACAGGCCAAGAGATAAATCGTACATTTATTTGATTACACTTGGATTTTCATTTTCTGTGATGAAAGACAAATAAATATGTTAACTTTGAAAATAGAAGGAAAATAAACTGTGCAACTGTGACAAATAAATCTATAATATTAATGTTGCCGATCTCGATTTAAACGAAATTAGAGGTAATTTTGTCAATGAACGTGATAATCTTGGAAAAGGCGAGTTTTATTTGGAATAGAAGGCGGATTTCGGAAGCACGCCAAAACGCGACATGCACAGGGACATCGAGTAACGTTGTAGTTAGCGGTAAAAAGCGAAGTGACGGCGAGTACGAGAAGAGTGCGGCGCGCGCTTACTCTCTCTCTCTTTCTCTCTCTCTCTCTTTTTTTTCTCGTCCCCTCGTGCCTCCCGTAAAAACCGAAAATCCGCAGATCGGTGATCGGCGATAACCGAAAATACAGCTGACAGTTTGCGGTCACCCGATGCACGGTGGCCGTAGATGGTCGATCGTGATTACCAAAACAGAG